GTCAGCAGGCTATCTGCCTTTTCTTGATAGGAGTCTAATTTCGCCAGGAAATCCTCTTTGTCTTTCCTCCTATTGGCCTCCATTTCTTCTTTCTCCTTCCTCCTCTTTTCCTCCATCTCTTCCTTCTCTTTCCTTCTCTTTTCCTCCATCTCTTCTTTGTCTTTCTTCCTGTTTGCCTCCTCCTTCTCGTGAATGGTTCTGATTTCTTTCAGGAGAAGTTCCATCATCTGCTGCATCTCCATTTTGTAGCAGTAAAATTCTCTGAGGCGTATTTAAGCTCGTAAAAATTCTGACACCAAATTGTCACGTGTCTCGAGTTCGAAGCTCGTTGGTCACGTGTGTAAGTCCAAATCCCACTTCTGACACCAATTGTCGCGTATTGGGTGTATATCGCGACAAATAACTTCACGCCGTATTTGATGTAGCGAATTTTATTTCACATTCGCACTTACAATCACCCAAATTACAGATTTACGATTACTGCTGTCTGCAGTATCACAAATAGTACACTCCAAATGCCACAATACAACTGACTGGTTGCTGGCTAACTCGGAATTAACTCGGAGGTAGCTCCAGGACTGACTCGTAGGTAGCTCCAGGACTAACTGTGAATAGCCTTCGCTGCGCCTCATGTAGCCTCGATCGGACAATACAGAAAACGGCCACGTAATAAGCACCCTTGTTGCCTGGCGCTGTGTTGCTAGTAACGCTAGCGGTAGTAACCGCTGTTACCACCGTTACGTTACCGTGCGGAGGGGGAGGGGAGCGCTGACTCACCCGCCGCGTCACTGCTGGTGGGGGGGTTCTCCTTTGCGCAACATGTCACAATATTATTATTAATAGTTTCATGACAGTGCTTAATGGGGTTGGGAAATTTACATACATGCAACATAAACTTAAGTATAGATCTAGTATACAGAATTATTAATTCATAATCTATAACATCAGATCACCTTCATTCATCAAAAAGTAATTAAAACCAAAAAACAGCATTTGAATCAGATGTTTTATCTACTATTATACTGATATCTATGTTTCATTTCAATATTCCCTCTACAGTCTTAAAAACTAACAAATTTACCACATTCACTTGCATAATTTTCATGAATAAGTGAGGGAACGGTTCTTTTTTTTTTTAACTACTTCAGAATTTGTATTATTAGACTTGGCTTTCACTGATAGTTTTCACAAGTAACCTTCACTCTATCCACACATTCTGAGTCTAAGGAAATCCGTCAAGATCTGTACAAAGAGATCTCTAATACGACACAATATTCTAGTAGTCTGGCTGTCACAGCAACAAGTTCAGCATTCTTCTAACCCTCCCTGTCCAAACATCAAGCTCTGGGGTGAGTAAACAGGCATATTTAACTTGGCAGATATAAAATGAGAAATAACAACATTAATAATATAAGGTCCATCTCTAACCTTCCCAATTTCCTGTGACCATCTTTTATCCATTCCATCACTTGTGCTGTAGCCGCTGTCCACTGTGTACCTTTTTTGTCGTAACTCTGAAGATAGGCCATTTGCAAACCGAAAATCTGACAAGTGTCCTGCTTTTCTATGCACCCTCCTGAGCTCTTCATTCAGTATACCTCTTTTCTTGTCTTCCTTTATTGCTTGAATCTCCAAATATTTGAAGACATGGACACGACCCCTTGTGCATAACTAAAGATAAAAGTAGTAAAAAGTAATGCATACAATATGGAACATGTCGTGGCACAAATTTCATACACTGTTTTGTGATATGTACGATTAAAAAGTATTATTCCTTGAATTATTCTTGCATCCATTTTTAAAACAAAATAATCATATCGTACAGGCTGAAATGGAAAATATGTAAATTTAACTTTGTCACAACACGATACAAATCTCTTTGTATGCCACTTCATAATGAGGATGAGGCTCAACTGTGATTCAAAACTCCCACATCGCTCAGTACCACACTTGACTCCATCCTTTGGCTATAACATTATAATCAAATGTAGGGAACACCCAGAATCTTTCTTAAGTATTCTTGCTACTGCACTTACTTTTAAAAGGTAATTCCATGTTCTGTTCTGTTCACTTTCTTCAATATCGTAATTATAATCATACTGTGAATAGTAGAAGCATGTGACTGGAAAAGAGCAGTATCTTCCCATGACAAATAAGTTACTAATTATTCTGAATAAATTCAAATGTCTGAATTCAGCATTCTCATAAGCACAAGCTGTTTTTATGATATAATCAATTTATAAGAAAGAGAATATTCTCACTTTCCTCCAGTATGCTGACAGAAAAGACAAGTCAGATAAAATCTTTAATGAAATTGGAAAGTAAAATGCCACAATGAAAAACATAAATAGCTGTATCAAATGTGGTATTGTTTTAGAAATTTACCATGACCTAGAAGAATAAACAAAATTGCCACAATAAAGCAATGGGCACTGTGCATATATTTTCATTCACAAGTTTTGCACACTGGCTGCTGTAAATGCTGCAATGGTATACATCAAAATTCTGCTTTCCTGCGTTAACTGTGAAACCTACAACCTACAACTTGCCTACAGCCCAGAGGAAGCCTAAAGAAACACCTTTCCAATCATTGTCAATAATTAGCAAGATGGACACTTTCAATCATGTGGGTATCCACTAGTAACTCACTCTGCCACAAATGTTTTAATGTTCATAGAATATGAGAAACCTATATGGCAGGCATTCACAACAGTAGTATTCTGTGTGTTAGCAACATTAAAATTCCAACATTTCTAAAAATGTTTTCCTTTCACAACTTTAATTTAGTTCACTATACCAAGTTTCCAATGTCTGATTAATGAATGCCATTTTATATAGATGTACAGTTAAACTTCATGCCTCTCGTAAATCTCTTCGATATCTGAGCTACTAAGAAATACACAGACACAATGAATGAATCTGGAATATATTTTCTAAGAGCTGGAGTTCATGTTACCATGACTGTTCTCACTAAATAAATTATTTTATGCCACAATACTGGATGCAAGAAAACATTCAGGATTTACTATGAACTCATCACCATTAGTTTTGTGATTTCAAGAAACAGCTAGAGAACTATACTGATTGTACAAAATATTTGACATTGGTTTGAAAATGTCTTTAAAGAGAGAGAAATATGAATTATATAAGATATATAGCATACGTTTTACTACATACAATTAAATGTTAGCCCATATGACAAAGAAAACTAAAGTAATTCACAACATGATCAATAAAATCCCTTATACAATACAAAGCATGTAACTCTAAAGTAAGTATCTAACTAAATGTAATGAGAACTTTGCTAAATCTACTGAACTACATAACAGAAGTGGTTCAAAGCAACAAACTTGGTAAATTCAATAAATAAATTACAAAAGACATTCTCCACTTACATAAGATGGTGGGGATGTGAGAGGATTATGACTTAGATTTAGGTCGACCAATGTGGTCATGGTACGGAGCTCCACCGGCAATGTCGAGATTCTATTGCCACTGATGTCTAGTTTCACCAGCCTGAGATACACGATTTCTAAAGAGCAGAATAACACATATCACATACTTATTGATTTCAAGGGAACAAAGGAAGTGAAGGAAGAGTAAAGGATAAAGTAGGACTTAAATAAGCAACTTTACTTGGTCCCCTACATTCCCATTACCACTCCTTACAAAAGAACTGCAATCACAGTAACTGTATGAAAAGGCCAGAGCATCGAACTTCTTGTTTTATGAATGCTCAGTTAAAGAATTTTCATATTAACACATTTAAAAAATTAATATCCCCTTTAATGAATGTTTAATGTATCTTCCTTGCAACAAAACATGTCAAAATGTGCGTTTCTAGCCTTCTTCAATCACACTCATACTATTTCTGTACTGGGACATTTTATACACACAGTACTCAAACTGAATTTTTTCATGAGTTCTATAAAAAAATATCTTCATAAGCACTGATCCTGACAAATTAATTACTGTTTATTGTGATAAATAAATACATATGTCAACACATACACATTTATGCTCCCTTAGTATTATTCGTAAATGTTTATACAGGTACTCCTAAATTTATGTGTGTTTAAGTGTCCTATATTTAAAATAAATTTAAAAGACGCCTCAGAGGGTGAAACTGCATAAATTAAAATTATCTATGCCAAATTTTTCTTCCTCCCCTAGCATTTCTCTACTGCCACCTGTACAATATGCTATTCCCCCTCCTCCTCACCTCTCCAGATCAGCAAGAAATCTGCATTGAAGCAAGTGATATTAACTGAAATGCATCTAAATTAGTTGAGTACATTGAAACTAAATCACATTTTTAAAATTTGCTTATAATGAGTAGTACCTGTACTACACCAGATCACTGAATATGCCATTACTGTCTTTAAATTAATGGCATAATCAGTTCCGTTTAGCTAATTTCTGCTTACTAAACAACTTTCAAGGAAAGCATTCCATTCATAAAACAAGACATTTTTAACAGTTTCAGACAAGTGAACATATGGTTTCAGAAATGCAGTTTTATATATTCTAGATTTTCCTTCTAACTCACTGAAAACCTACAGAAAGATACCAAAGAAAGCACTGGAACACCCAAATAAACATTTTAACAGATATTTAGAATTATAGCAGAACAAAGTCATCAACAAAATGAAGGCATGAAGAGAGGGGAAACCACTTCCATGCAAAATGCATAAAGCAATATTTAGTTGTAACCCAAAACACTTAGTCAGTGCCACTTAAGTATATCAAGTGGTAGAATAGTATACATAACAAAGATATTTTTTATTCACTTTTAATAAAATAGGGAACAAAGGCAACTGACCTTATGAGAATATGATATGTAGAAATAACTAACTACCATTTAATAAAACTGTGGGTGTATTAATCTTTAATAGAAATTCTGTAGTGTGTGTAATAAAACACACAGGCCAAATAAATTATTCTCATTCTTAGCACCATAGAATAATGGCTTATAAGAGCATGTGAGTAGAGCTCCACATATTCTTAACCTCAAAACAGGTGCATGTTATTATTGTGCCCTGGCTGTCATTCATTTACTTATTCAGCATTCCATAAATCCTTACATGGTTAAACACCAATGGATATAGAAATAGTCAACTTGAGTAAACACGATTGCTGCTGGGGACACAGTTCTTGCTATAAACTGAACAGGATGTTGAATGGGTCACAGAGACATTCTGGATATAGGGTGAAGATGTGGGTCTTACAGGCAAACACAGTTCTCATCACACTGGAATTCTTTATCATCATTGCATAAACTCTCTTCATCTCTGATTTTCTATCAATATCAGTCTAACAACTTCTGTATTCAAGCTAAGTTTCAAGAGCTAATTTCTGAATATTCAATCAACCACCACCCTTCATTAGTTCTGTGTCACTGTTACCACATAAATTTTGAAGCTGTCAGAAGACTAGAGCATTTGCAATTCCCTTTACCAATACCTTCCATTTCTTCTTGAAATCTCTTAACCCACACAAATACCTGTGATATAAGCTTTATAGATTGCATCCTGTTGTGTACATAGTATTTAATTACTTATGTTACAACAGCTGACACAACAAACAATGTGGGGATATCTTCAATAAAGACAACAGATGTTAGTATATGTCTTTAATCAAAATGTAACTGTGCTACAAGTTTTGATCATTTAATTAGGTAACCATCAGGCACTTATGAATATAACTCAAGTAATTAAAATTAATGGTTACGATACAGATCCATATTCTTGCAACTGATGACTGTGTTGTCAGCAACCACACAAATATCAACAGGGGACAACATTAAGTTCTACGTTTAAAAAACATCCAAGCTTCCACGTTAATCTAGGATAGAAGTGAGAAGCAGCAAGAAATCATGATCACATTTTACAAAACTAGTTAGTATAGAAGGAAGAAGGAAAAGCCACAGATTCAACAGAACACTTACTGCTACTGCATATAAAACTAAATCCAACTATGAAGAGCAGGGATTTCAGGGTTGTAACGTCATGCAGTTTGCACAGAGCCTAAGAATCAGAGGAACATATGTCCTGCATCTTCACAGTCAAAGTGTAAGCCAGTGTACTAGTATCCAATATTTATGATTAAAACATGAGCCACTTTACCAGTGCCACTAAATTTCACAAAATAAAGACCACCTGATTACTTCAGGAAGCCTGGATAACACAGCCGGTATAGCCACTGGCTATGAGCTCGATAACCAAGGGGTTGGAGTTCGAGTCCTGGTAGGGTCAAGATTTTTCCCTTCTCCAACTTGTCCAAACCATCTCTGGGGCTCACCCAACCTCCTATCCAATAAGTATCAGGGGATTTTTCTGTGGGGGTAAAGCAGCCGGGGTGTGAAGATGACCTCTCACCTCAAACTAGTGGCAAGGTCAAGAAAATGTGGTTCTATACATCCACTCCCCCATACACCTTCATGGTGCAATGCTTAATTAGTTAAGCACAGGGACATCCTACCTCTTACCTGATTATTTCACTGCTGTATTTCACATGTAATTGCATTACCTGGTTCAAGTACTTCCACATTTCAGAATATAACTAGAAATTAAGACACTTCAAATGTCTGGCTTTCTTTTGTGAGGCTTAGCCATGTACAATGCATTTCTACTATCACTAAATTGTCGGAAACAAAGTACTTAAAGCACAGAAAATACTGTGAAATGCATCAAATGCCCATACAACACAATTTGCACCCAATCCTAAAGTCCGCTACTGACATATTCATACTCCTATAACACACAAAGACATTCAAAATACACTGCTAATGAGTGCATTATATTATACTGTCAAGTTACCCATTCAGAAGGCAAATGAATCTCATCAGAAATTAATTAAAATTAAAATATTCAATACGATTTGTTCAGATAGTAATGTTTAGTTCCAACTTTTAGTTCCAACATGCTAACTGCACTGTCATGAAGACTTGAGATTCAAATAGAAACAAGAATTTACTACTTATACGAGTGTTGTACTGAAAGTCATGAGCAACAATTTTTTGTAAAGTAACATGCTTTATTACTGACAAACCAAATACACCATCTCATTCTACAGACCTTTCTTTATTTTTCCACATAATCGCCACTTCTTTGTACACATTTCTCCCAGCATTCTGAGAGATTGAAAATTCCCCTTCTGTGAAATTCCATTCCAGCCATCCTAAGAGACTGACGCACTGCTTTCTGAATTGCCTCCCTTGTCTAAAACGTTGTCCATGCAGCTGACCCTTCACAAATCGCCTTTGTGTTGATATCTCTGCAGCAGTTCTGAGGTGATGGCTTTTTGCTGACCTTTGTGGTCTTTGGTCAATAACCGCGGGACCCAACGAGCACAAACTTTCCTATAGCCCAAGCTTTCAATCATCTCCTGTACTGCACTGTTCCCTATTCCAAGTTTTCAGGCTATTGTGTCCACAGTCACACGCCTGTCATCTTGAATGATCTCATCCACTCTATCCTTGTTGCGTTCAGTTGAGGCTGTTCGAGGACGACTGCTCTGAGGCTCATCTTCGATGCTGGTGTTCCCATTTTTAAGATGTTTCACCCATCTTCAAACACTGCTCGGACCCATGCACGCATTTCCATAAGCATGCTGAAGTCTCTGGTGAATTTCTGCAGCAGGGATTTCCTCTTTCACATGAAATTTGATGACAGCACGCTGGCGAAATGACATATCATTGTTGGCCATTTTGTCAGGAGTGATACTGGTCACGTGATGCAAGCTATTGACGTCACAAGACACTCAAGGTTAACACAACAGCTGGTTCCACCTACCACCGTACTCTCTTTCGTCTGCTGTTCCCAGGCTGCATGCAAAAGAAAGTTACTCATGACTTTCGGTATGACCTACGTATATTGATATCATCACCATTTACTGATATAAGTCTTGATTATTATGTCAAGCAGAATCTTTATATAAAATAATACACTTTCACAACTCCACATAATCTGAAAGAGAGTAACTACTAAGAAAACAAATTTTAATTAATAATAAGACAGAATGGAATCTGTTACCTATTGGCAGCTCCACAAGGTGATTGCGGCGTATGTTGAGCGACTTGAGGACTGACAGTTCACCAAGTTGTGGGGGAAGATGTGAGATTTCATTACAGCTAGCATCTAATTCAGCCAATGTCTTCATACGGCCTAATTCCTCAGGAAGTGCAACCAATTTATTATTTGCTACTAGCAATACTTCGAGAGGTAGCTGGCAGAGAGTGCTGGGAAGCACGCTCAGCTGGTTCCGGCTAGTTTAACAACAGCAGCACATTAATATTATATTATCAGACATATTAACAGTGAATAATAAAACATGTAGTAAAACGTGTGTCAACTGTTCTTCATGACCCCAAACAGCGATCAGTTCAGAAGCTGAAGTTCCCATTTTGTTTCTATAATGACAATGGATTTCATTACTGCACCAGGAAAACCACTAAAATGACTGATGGTGATAATGTCAATTTTTTTACAAATATGGAAAGTAAGATAGGAACAGGTTCTTGCAGTCATATTGTTCTCGTGTTGGTAAGGACATGTTACAATTTTGCTGATATAATGTGACTCACCTGAGATCCAAATATATGAGAGACTGAAGGTACACTACAGAGTCAGGTATTGACCTGATGGTGTTGTGGTACAGATAAAGCCTTTCTAGGAAGTAGAATTCAGTCACTTCTACTGGAAGTTCACCAAATCGGTTTTTTGATAAATCTGCAATAAACAGATTAACCATTTTAACAATAACTACCAGCAACCTAATTGTGAACTGTGACAGGTTTAGAACTAATACTCTTTGTAATAAACTCGATAATCTCTAAATTACATTCACACCCATCAATTTTACTCTGAAGAACTGCAAATTCATATGATTAATTCTTAGGTTACTTTCTGCTCCTGCATGAATCGCAGAGGTTATTATAAGACACAAAATTAAACAATAAGATGGTGCTGAATGGCGACTACAAAAGGATATCAAAAGAGGCAATAATGGTCTATTTCAAGGTACTGACCCAACATTCACCTAGAGGCTGACCAAACTATACACATTAAAAAAAAAACTATTCAGAATAGCAAGTAACCAGAACTCTACAATAAAAGGGAGAGTTGGTAAATATGCCATAAATGGGAGTAAAACAGCTATAATGGTCATATTAGGTTGTCTATGTCTGTCACTAGGTAGCAGCAGAGTCCAGCTTCATGATAGTCTAGGTAGCAGACACAAATGCGCATTTTCAGAAGCTGGTTTCAGTAGTCAAAATGGTGACCGTACTTGAGGCGTGACCTACTGAAGAGCAGCGTTCTGTTGTGCGTTTTCTGTGGGCAAAAGGACTCAATGCAAAGAATATTCATTAAGAAACGTTTCCTGTTTGTGGTGGGAAGTGTTTCCTGCGTAAAGTAGTTCCACCTTGGTGGCAAACATTTTGCTCACGACAAAGAGGTTAAAACAGAGGTGCAGAAGTGGCTGAGACAAGAGTCAAAGGACTTCTATGCCGTGGGTTTCGACGCACAGGTAAAGCAATTGGAGAAGTATATCAAGGTTGGTGCAGGATATGTCGAGAAATAAATGTTTTTTCCAGGTTCGAAAATCACATCTTACAATTTACACACATCTGAGACTTATTACTGACTCTCACTCCTACAAGCATGGAACATTAGTGCTGAAGCCCTCTAATCAGCGAAATCCATATGAAATGAGACTGCCATGTAATACTGTCAAACAGAGTAGTAAAGCATAATTCTGGAAAACAGGGTTTTACACTAATGTTATTCCTCTGTAACTAGTATCAAAGAAGAACTATCTGTAGTGAAAAGAATAAAGCTTGTCACCCACATTTTGGGTCAAGATCAGACACAATAAAGCTTTAGCTCTATGTCCCCCAAAACTTTCATACCAGTATACTTTGGAATGGATATGGTATATAAGTACCATGTTAAGAGAGCTGTGTACATAACAAAAAATCTAACAAGCAAACTGGTATTCTATAATGGTAACGCTCTATATGTGTATTTAGCAGGTATCCAATTATAATTTCAGCCAAGACCCCAGACACATCTTTCAGGATACGACATAGGGGTAGTTGCTACATGTTTACTGACATTTTTGAGGAACATACTGCCTCAGTCATCAGGGTCAATGAATAAAAGGGTAAAACAAGCAGAAAGCAGCTTGATTAGCTTAGTTTTCCCGGAAGAAGGAAGCAGTTCGTTTCTCCAAAACATCGTTAAACTTCTATCAGACTACATGGCGTTACAGTCCAGAAGATAGCTTTCTTCATAATAACTGCCGTGACAGCCTTGTATCTCACATGGACTAAAATTATTTGGGTCTTTTCAGTCTCTCCAAGTGAATGTCTGGACAATACCTTAAAACAGGTCATAGCCCTTTCCTTGCATATCATTACGAGCTGCCCATTCATGATTATCTTACCATCACATTTCACATATGACATCTGCAAGTGAAACAGCGTCATTAAACAAATACATAAGAAACAAGTTTCATAGAATGGCTACTGTGTCAAGAAACGCTCATGTTAATTCACTAATGAGTTGAAACTATACCAGTTAATAAGGCAAAATATGCGACTGACACTCCGCGCCATGAAGACGTTTGGGGAGCGGAGGTACGGCTCCACGAATTCCTTAACTTGGCGCCATGCGGAGGTTACTAATGAAGTCGTACGAATCAAGTAATTATGTTATGCAATTTATTCTGTAATGTTAGTCGAGTCCCCGAAATATGATTTCGACATTGCTGGCTTGCTGTGGCGAAAACGAAGGCGTTTTTCCTGCAAGTAGTACCGTATATGGGACGGAAGCGAATAGAACACCTCGAAAAATGTGTGACATGCTGTGACCATACTGTTTCTCTGAAAGTCCGACAGGGGTTTTGTGAGAACTGGTGACCTTAATTATATCCATGCAAGGGAGGAACTTTATGGTAACCAGGAACCGTACATCAACTAGTTACAAAGAAGTGCACTGTTTCGCAAGATCGACACATGTTCTAATTAGTTCAGAAAAGATAAAAGGGTCTTCTGATATTGCGCTCACATAAAACAGCTTCTTTATGTATACACACACATCTGAATTACATGGCACTATAACTCCTCTCGTCTCCCCAACACCGGCCTCACACCACACCAATCAACTGCCAGTAAGACTGAGCTCAGTATACACACGGTACAGAATTCGTTGGATTAAACTATAAAAATAGTTTTCATTGACGTTTCATACCATGAGATATTCTGGCAAAGCTTAAAAACTTGAGACTATAATGTGCTAACTTCATCCAGTGCTTAACTAATTAAGCACTCAGCCACGAAGGCGTATGGTGGAGTGGATGTATAGATCCACATTTTCTTGACTTCAACACTAGTTGGAAGTGAGTGGTCAACTTCACACACCGGCCACTTTACCCCCGGGGAAAGAGCCCCCGGTACCCATTGGATACGAGTTTGGGTCGACCCCAGAGCCGGTATGAACGACGTGGAGAACAGAAAATTCTTGATCCCACCGGGACTCGAACTCCAACCCTTCGGTCTCCCAGCCCATACACGGTCTCTATACCGACTACGCTATCCTGCCTCCTTCATTACATGCAAATTAAAAAAAAAAGAAAAGAAAAAAGAAAAGAGGAAAATAAAGAAAACCATCTTTCAACAATTTAGTACACAAACACGAGATAACAGCCGGCACTGTAGTAATGTAAATGACAGGAAATCTGCTTCGTATTTCAGAAGTTTAAGGGTTCCATTCTCGATCCACAAACCGGCTAACTTGACGGAAGTTCTAACGATTTATGTGAATCTCCCTGCATGCATAGTCATTTCGCTATTCAACACTGTATAACCGACGTCCTGAAAGAGTCCGTCAATTAAAACAAGAATCAAAGGGAACAGCGACGGTCTCCATTTGCTTTTCTTGGGCCTTCTTTGTTTATCCTTAAACGTACGTTACTTGAAAAAGACAATACGGCAGAAACGAAAGCTGCTGCTAAGAAATGTACTCTGAAGCTAAAAACACGGAGGGAAAGCCATGAATGAGTCTATTCCACGTGAGCTATGTCTACTCCACGCCACGCTCTTGCACCCGTAGCGTCTCAAGACGTCTAACATCTTCAATTATACAGCTGTATATTCTGGGATATAAAACCGTGTACTTCTAGCGACTACCTACAGCCTGGACGACTCAGGGGTCGGAGTTCGATTCGCGATAGGGTCAAGAATTTTCTCTTCTCCAAATCGTCCAGACCAGCTCTGGCGTCCACAGAACCTCCTATCCAATGGGTACCGGGGGCTCTTTCCTCGGGCGTAAAGCGGCCGGGGCGTGAAGCTAACCACTCATCTCCAAAAAGTGCATAGGTCAAGAAAATGTGGATCTATACATCCACTCCCACATATTCCTTCACGGCGTAGTGCTTAAATTCGTTGAGCACAGGGACAACTTTACCTTTTACTCCGCTGAAAGTCAATCAGTGTTTCGAAGTAACATGTCACCTCCACCTTCAGGTTCGAATAAGCTAGGTAAGATACCAGTATGAAGCATAAGAACAAGTAGAGCGGGGGTATACGGCGCCCCCTCAAAGCCTGAAACCTTCTGGGCTTCCGCTACTGCTTTATTACAAGGAAACTTGTCATTGTTCCGTTGCCTAGTACTACTGTAGCATGGGAAGTGATTCCGTTCGTGTTTTCTGTCGGGTTCGAACCAAGCATTTAAAGCTGGCCAAACAGCATTCCTATTACTACCCCCTCTTCTTGCATAAGAGATAACATTTCCAAACACTTAAAGGTCTTGGAACGAACAAAACTTTGGTCATGGGTCCCAAACTTAAGAATGACTTTGCTGGGGAGGACGAGCAGCAATTTACTGGATTTGGGCCTATTACTGCTGCTCGATAGGCATTCCCCATTCCCGAATCTATGCAGCTGTATCCTTCGGATCGGGACATCGCCGCAAGGGTCATANATTTGGTCATGGGGTCCCGAACCTAAGAATGACTTTGTTGGGGAGGACGAGCAGCAATTTACAGGATCTGGGCCTATTACTGCTGCTCGATAGGCATTCCCCATTCCCGAATCCATGCAGCTGTATCCTTCGGATCGGGACATCGCCGCAAGGGTCATACCCGAGAAGACCGGGGGATGCCCTAAGCTCACCCAACACATTTAACATATTAACAGCTGAAAGAAGGGCAAATATACAAATGCATGAAGGTGCAGGACAAGTGACATTTGTCTACTGTACTGCGGCCACGGAAGGTTCCCGTTTCATGCTGGTTTATTTGGCATACTCTTCATCCCTGATGATGGAAGCAACATGTTCCTCCGAAACGTTGGCTTTCAACGTACTACATGGATTATATCCTAGAAGAGAGATTTCGTTATACAGAGTTTACATTTACATTTTCGTGTAAGTCCAGAAAAAAAAACTTCTGAACTGAATGATTATCGTGATGCTTCTTAGCATGAATGTTAAGCCAACTGGAGCCAACTCCATCAAACAAAAACAAAAAACAAACTCCGTAGCCTGTAGTCCGCAAGCAACCGCCGCGTGTCGGCGAAGTTAGTGCCAACTTTTGCGAATAGAGGGTGTCACGTGGTCAGCGCAACGGATCCCCACGGTAGTTAATCTCGGTTTTCTAGACCGGAGCCGCTATTTCCTTGAAATAGCTCCTCAATTATTACCTACAAATTACGAGCGTGCGCATTTTA